CTCTTGTTTCTGCCTGCAAACTGCAAAGACAACATTCCTCAGAATTGCCAATCCCCCACCGCAACAGCCTTGCTTTCACTGGGAGCCTGTTCTTATTGGCCACCCAGAAGGTGAAAGCGTGCTTAGGATAATAACCTTTAAACCAGACCGCTTTAAACCAAGCCACTTTCGGAGCAGTTGGTCTAATTTCCTCCCATGTGTGAGCTGTGGTAAACTTTTCCCTTGTAACACCACAGGTCTTCCAGAGGTAGTCATCGTTGCCTTTGTCCATAGAGGGTGGTTCATGCTCTATCAGCGCTTGCCTAAGCTCCATGAGCTGCGGAGAGCGAGTTGTTGGGCTCGGGAGATCCAGTTTCCTTCCAGACACGCTTGAGAAACCACGCTCTCTCTCGGTATACTGAGTCAGCGCGGGCCTTCTGCTCCCACAAAGTCGAGAAGGGGGCCTAACCTGAACCAATTATCATACCAGAAACTGCAGGCGTCCCCGTCATTGACTCGGCAGATTATGAACCTCTTCGCAAGGGGCCTAAGGTCCAAGAGAAATTTCCAAACCTAGGAGGAAACACTATTGGCCTTTGCCGACCAGAAATTGATGCGCTTCAACCAGTGTTCTCTGTTCCACGCTACCCATAGTGAACCACTGGAAGAGAACAATAACCAGATGAGCCTGAGACTTAAAGCTGTATTCCACAAAGCAAGACTCTGGAGTCCTATACCCCCCTCATTCTTAGGAAGGCAGGCGTTGGACCATGAGATTTTTGTTCCCCAATGGTTCGAAATATCCCCCGACCACAGAAATCTGTTTCACATTGACTCTAGAGTTTTCAAACACCCTTTGGGAGAGAGAACACAGCTAGCTAGAAATTGATAGAGCTGTAAATAACAGAGCAGATCAGTTGCAGTCGCCCCGCAAAGGAGAGGGTTTTGACCATCTAATTGGTAAATCTGCTTTTGACGGTGTTGATGAGTGGAGAGTATTCTGACTTCCTCAACTTGCGATGCATTAAAGGTAGACCCATATACCTTATTGGGAGAGAACCAAGGGTTAAGCACAGGGAAGTAGAGGCCTCTGTTTCAGCCTGGTTCAGACCGACCAGGAACAAGGCTGATTTTTCCTTATTCATTGCTAATCCCGAGAGAAGAGAGAATTCCTCCAGGGCACTTATAATCGCTTGAAGAGATTTGGGTTTGCCATCGTAAAAAATCATGACGTCATCTGCAAAAGATAGATGCGAAATCTTGGGGTTATGGTCTTTAGGGTGAAAGCCAACCTCGCCAGCGTCGAACTTTGAGTTGATTAGAGACACGAATATCTCCATTGCCATGACGAACAGGTACGGTGAAATAGAATCCCCCTGTCTTACTCCGCATGTGCCTTTAAAGTATCCAAAGATCCCCCCCATTGATGCTTACCAAGAAGCTAGTTGTGGTGAGACACTGCTGGATCCAATTTACAAACACTGTAGGAAAATCTGCAGCTCACAGCACCTCAAGGATATAGTCCCAGCGAATGGAGTCAAAGGCCTTATGGATGTCGACTTGAAGAAGCCCTCTCCGAGAGGTGTTTCACTGGTTGAAACCCTGAACTAGCTCCGTAGCCAGAAGGACGTTTTCTACCAGGAGTCGTCCTTTTAGGAAAGCAGATTGTGAGCTCGAAATCATGCCAGGTAGTATTGATTGAAGCCTCCTTGCTAGGATTTGAGAGATCACTTTGTAAACAATATTACAGCAGGAGATGGGTCGGAAATCTTTTACTGAATCTGCTCCTGTGTGCTTGGGGATCAAAGCGAGGATTATTGAGTTTAACTACTTAAGTAGCCGGCCTGATTCAATGAACTCCAGAACTGCCTCCGTAAACTCCTCCCCAACTGTTTCCCACGCTCCTCTGAAAAACTCGGGTGTATAGCCGTCGGGGCCCAGAGCTTTGTTGAGGGGAAGGGAGAATAGCTCCCTCTTTATATCTGCAGGTGAGATGGGGACAGATAGTAAGGCTTGGTCAGCAGGAGAACATCTGAACTGGGTAAGATCTCTGATTCTTGCTAACGCGGGCAGAGGAAGAGGCTGAACAACACTGCCCAGAAGATTCGTGTAGTACTCAACACAACACTTCTGGAATTCAAGGAGAGTGTCAAGACGAACGCCTGAGCTGTTGATCAAGTAATAAATTTGGTTCATAGAATGTCTTGCCACCATGAAGCGATGGAAGAAAGCAGTATTCTTGTCTCCACTCTCAACCCACGTTACTCTAGATCTCTGTTGCATAAAATCATCTTCTGCTCTTGCCAAATCTGCCCAGACCTTGTGTTTCTCCTTCTCCAATGCGGCAAGCGCCGGGGATCGGGAGGAGAAGAGGTTACTTTTGCAGTTGCTAAGGTTGATAAGGGCATCTGCGACCCGTTTCTCAAGATTCGAGAAGTGGTCTCTATTAATGTCCTTAACGATACCTTTGAGAGCCTTCAATTTCTTGACAAAACAGAACATTTTTGTCTCTTCAAATCAAAGGTCCTCCCACGCCGCCGTGATCCTAGGAACGAATGCATGGTGTTTTGCAATGAAGTTGGAAAACTTGAATGGACGGTTTAAAGAGACTTGAGCTCTTCCCAGATGCACACAGGAAGGACTATGATCCAAGAATTGAGTCTTCCCAAAAAGGCCAACGGAGAGGGGGAAAGAAAGCAACCAGGTGTCGTTAACGAGAACACTATCAAGCTTCTTTACAATACGGTTTCTTTCTTGGTTGTTCCACCAAGTGAACTGGTTTCCCCTGTAAGACAGATCAGCCAGGCCAGAGGAAAGTAAGCAGTTACGGAACTCGGACATACCTCCAGTGACACGAGAGCTTCCCCTTGAGTCATCACTAGGATCGAGCGATTGGTTTAAATCTCCTATCACTGCCCACGGTTTTGTTGAGGCTCGCAAGTCCAAGGCAATATGACTTAGCTCCCCCCCCCACAAATCTCTTCTCTCATATTTGCAATTCGCCGCATACGCAAACGTTACAACAAATTCTTGAGTTATAGCTGGCAGCTTAACTGAACAGGTGATAGTCTGTTTAGACTTGCTCACCACCAAGAGAGAAACAACTGGGTCCCAGATATCCCAAATTCTTCCAAGATCTGAGAACTCATAATTGCAAGCGTAATTCCATCCCGAGAAAGAAGATGTAATCAGCTTGAGTGACTTCTGCTTCTTCACTCTAGTTTATACTATACTACCAAAAGAGGCGTTAAGACGCCTGAACCAACTACAAAATTGCTTCGCCTTACCAAGTCATTGAAACCGCGAACGTTCCAGCAAAAAAGTCGATCTTCATAAAAGTTAAAGATGTTTGGGGCCTTTGCCCCTGTCCACGTTTCTAGCCCTTCTCCCCTTGCGTTTCTGCGCAGATAGAACTTCTATAAATTTCTCATTATCATCCGGGTTGTCATCCTCCTCTGAGTAGTAATCCAGCTCGTCCGAGCTCATAGGACTTGAGGAAGATGGTGAGTTCTCAAGGTCAGAGGATGAGGAGGCAACGCGCGAGGATTTCCTTAAAGAACTACCAGGGGAGTTCCAGCGATTAGTAGTGATCTCTATGGACACTACACGCTTGCCTTCAGCTTTATTTACTCCATGCTTCGCCAAGGGGTCCACTGAGGCTACCTCTTTCGCCAGAAGCTTCTTAGTCTTCTTCCTCGTTTTTTGACCCTCCGAGGAGGTTGGGGTCTTTTTGGCTCTTAGGCACTCCGCAGAAGGGTGCAGTGTGGAATTACATGCCAAGCACGTGATAGGCGCCGTTGGGAAACGTCGGATGAAGTGACTAATTTGACTGCAGTGCTCGCAGGTCGGAGGGAGCCAGGGAGAAGAGACTTCAACTCTCTGAGTCTGTCCTGATTGGAACCTAATGTTGACGAACTCGGGAAGAGGCTTGGAGGGATCTATTATCGTAAGAACTCTCGTCACTTCCAGGTTCGTCATATTTAGTGTAGTTGGATGAAATTTGACTGGGTCACCAACAAGAACGACAATATGTTCTAGACCCTCTTCCGAATAAAACTGAAGGGGGACATTACAGAAATCAACCCACACAGGAGCGGAGGTGAGCGTTGGAGCCTCCGGTGTGAGACCCGGTTCCCACCTGGCAACAAACATCGACTGATTTTCGATGTGCCACATTCCCTGAGCGAGGACTCTCATCCTGGTAAGAGGGCAAGGGATCCTTATTAAGAAAGTCCTGTCCGAGAGCTTAGAGACGGTGATGTCTCTCAGTCGGTTGCTCCAAATGCCGTTGGTGATGGCATGAAGAGCTCATGGAGAGGGGGCTTTGCCGTGGAATTGGGCCAGAATGAAGCTCTTCCAACGGTGTTGGTTGCTAGAGATGACCTCATTTGGTATGGTGTCACAGGATTCGCCGGAGTCAAGGAGAAAGAGCTCACCTTTCTTGGCCATTTTCTTGTTAGAGGGACTAGCAACTTCAGCCCAGGATGGCTTAGTAGAGGTCTCAGGTTCAGCAGCGACAGCTGGTGAAGCCAGAAATTGGATCTCGGCAGACTCCGACACTACTGTGGTGTCAGTGCCGGAGAAGGCTGAGGGGGTAGGCTCTGCGGGTGGTGGGCACACGAGGGTCGCCAATTTTTCCGCAGGGGCTGTAGATCTGCTAGATTTGTCCGAGTTCAGAGATCGTTGCTGATCCGGGGAGACGGCCGAGGGCGAGGGAGGGCGCGGCTTCGTGGGGCCAGAAGGGGGATCGGAAGCTAGAGGCCTTAAACAATGAAAAAATATAGCTCAATCATGTTTATGTTACATATCGTAAATTCTTAAATTTAATTACTTAATTATTATTCAAAATGTTAATTATTTATGTGAAAATAGTTTTAAAGGAGATAATATGTACATAAAAACTATACGATACGTAATATTCAAGTTTAGAAAGTTTTATAATAAACTTATATATTTTCGTAGACAATGGGATTTGCATTTGTGAACAACTCATGAATTGATGGGATAACATCACTTAACAGTAAAATGGGACACTTTAATTTCTTCTCAGTCCATCACTTCAACATTACCGGCGTCACCATTACGGCTCCCGGCGATAGCCCAAACACTAATGGTATTAAGTTTGGTTTCTCTAGCAATATTCACATCTCTAATACATTCATCGGTACTGGAGACGATTGTATCGCCATCCTTTCGGGAAACACTAACATGGATATCTCTAACGTCAAGTGTGGTCCCGGACACAAGATTAGTGTCGGAAGTTTGGGGAAGAACAAAGACGAGAAGGATGTTACAGGTTTAATGATAAGAGACACCGTTTCTAATGGCACAAGCGATGGTATATGAATCAAGACTTGGGAATCTTGAGCTTCAAAGATCATCGTCTCTAACTTTGTGTTCGAGAATATTCAAATGATTGATGTTGGAAACCAATTAACATCAGAGGTATTGTCCTTACCCACCTTGTGAAAATAAGGTTTGCTTTCTACACTAGAGATAAAGTATGTTTTTCTTTTTTTTCATCACACGAAACACATAATTAAATTAAAAAAACTGTGGTCTGTTATTCTTTCAGGGAGAGTCTAACGTTCAGGTACAAGATATTAAGTTAAAAAACATATATGGGACCTCGAAGAACAAAGTGGCAGTGAATCTACAATGCAGCAAGAGCTTTCCATGCAAGAACGTGGAGCTAGTTGACATTAACCTAGAGCATAACAGAGTCGAAGATGGTCCTTCTACTGCAGTGTGCGAAAATGTTGACAGTTCTGCTCATAGTAAGATGGTTCATCAGTAGGGTTGATTGGATGCTCAACACAATAACTAAATATTGTATTTCATATTTTCATATTTATATATTAGCCTAATTGATGTATAAATATGTATATATACCCAATGCATCGACAGCTAAAGATATTGTATCAACTATAAGATATTAAACCTCATCAAATGAATAATCTAATTGCCATTTTACGAAGACTTTTAAGTGTTGATGTCACATTCGCCACATATAATTGATTGACTGAAATTATCATTATGGTTTTAAATTGATATCATTTTTGTTCAATCATAATTTATTATTGCTTACATATCATATTAAACGAAATTAATTTAAAAGAAAACATTAACGGAAACAAGTTTACTGGTAAATATAATTGGCTTTTCATTAAAATTAAGAATTTGTTTTAAAAAGGGAACACAGTTTAAAATCTGGATAAAAACAATTTAACCAATCAAAATCATTATAATAAAAACAACTCAATTTTTCACCCATAATTAATAACAAAAATCAAGTTCTTTTTATATAGAATCTAACAGTTAATCTACACATACTAACTCTATAAATAATCAGAGAAAATAGGCCAATATTTCTCATTCTGTCTTAGAACAAGGATTTATAAACCCACATACAACTTGTAATCTCTATATACCCCAAATAAATTAAAAAAAAAATAGCTTTCATTACTTCTTTGTTTAAGGCTTTGTATTTGTCTCTCTTGTTTCTCACCGTTGCAAGTACCCGTCTGACCAATAGGCAAAAAGTTTTTAATGTCCGACGATATGGTGCTAATCCTGATGGAAAGACTGATAACGCAAATGTATGTACATAAAAAAAATAAAAAAACACAAAGATAATTTTTTTCTATTTTAAACTAATCGTGTAGTTTTTGTTTAATGATTTACTTCTCACGTTATTCTTAATGTGTCCAATATTAGGTGTTCGCGAATGTATGGAAAAGCGCATGTGGAAGAATAAGTGGAAGTAGTAAAATATATGTACCAAAAGGAACATTCTATCTTGGTGGTATAGAGTTCACAGGACCATGCATAAACCAGATTGAATTTATCATAGATAGAACTTTATTGGCTCCTACAAATCCTAAGGACATTAAAAAGGATACATGGATCAACTTTAGATACATCAATGATCTATTTATCTCTGGTGTCGGTACACTCGACGGTCAAGGAAAGCAGTCTTGGCCACTCAACGACTGTCACAAAAACACTAATTGTCCTAAATTAGCTATGGTATCATTTTTTAATCCTTTTATATTTTTTTTTTATTATGATTATTATTTACATTGAAACTGTATTACAAAACCTTAAATAATGAATAAAATGTAGCTCAATCATGTTTTAGTTACATATCGTAAATTCTTAAATTTAATTACTTAATTATTATTCAAACTGTTAATTATTTATGTGAAAATAGTTTTAAAGGAGATAATATGTACATAAAAACTATATGATACATAAAAACTATATGATACATAATATTCAAGTTTAGAAAGTTTTATAATAAACTTATATATTTTCGTAGACAATGGGATTTGCATTCGTGAACAATTCAAGAATTGATGGGATAACATCACTCAACAGTAAAATGGGACACTTCAATTTCTTCTCAGTCCATCACTTCAACATTACCGGCGTCACCATTACGGCTCCCGGCGATAGCCCAAACACTGATGGTATTAAGTTTGGTTTCTCTAGCAATATTCACATCTCTAACACATTCATCGGTACTGGAGACGACTGTATCGCCATCCTTTCGGGAAACACTAACATGGATATCTCTAACATCAAGTGTGGCCCCGGACACGAGATTAGTGTCGGAAGTTTGGGGAAGAACAAAGACGAGAAGGATGTTACAGGTTTAACGATAAGAGACACCGTTTTTAATGGCACAAGCGATGGTATACGAATCAAGACTTGGGAATCTTCAGCTTCAAAGATCATCGTCTCTAACTTTGTGTTCGAGAATATTCAGATGATTGATGTTGGAAAACCAATTAACATCGATCAGAAGTATTGTCCTTACCCACCTTGTGAAAATAAGGTTTGCTTTCTACAGTAGAGATAAAGTATGTTGTTATTTTTTTCATCACACGAAACACATAATTAAATAAAAAAATTCTGGTCTGTTATTCTTTCAGGGAGAGTCTCACGTTCAGATACAAGACATTAAGTTAAAAAACATATATGGGACCTCCAAAAACAAAGTGGCAGTAAATCTACAATGCAGCAAGAGCTTTCCATGCAAGAACGTGGAGCCAGTTGACATTAACCTAGAGCATAGCGGAGGCGAAGATGGTCCTTCTACTGCAGTGTGCGAAAATGTTGACGGTTCTGCTCATGGTAAGATGGTTCCTCAGCATTGTATAGATTGATTGGATGCTCAACACAATAACTATATGTTGTATTTCATGTTTTCATATTTATATAATAGCCTAATTGATATATAAATAGGTACGCTTTTTCTTTTGTTAGTTTGTGTAAAGTTTTTGATTGGTACAATAAAGATTTAAAGACAATTTGTTTTTTTTTTTTACTTTGTGGTTTATATTTTTATTTACGACAAAAACATATTTTTTTTATTAATAATGCAAAAAATTATGATTAAAAAGAATATTTAAACTTGGTACAGACATACACTGAGATGTTTAAATTTATAACACTTTTAACCTAAAAAAAGATGATCAACATGGACAGTTATTATTATTTTTATACTCTGTTCGGAATTTTGCTAGGCGTGAATCGGGCGTTCGGTCGGTCTAAGCCTAACAATTTTTTTTTTAAAAAAATCGGATATAAATCGGAGAGGAATCAGAAAGGAATTTTTTATATAATTCATTTTTTGTTAAAGTTTTTTTTCATATAAATATATAACATATCAAAATTAAAAATTAATAACATATTTTCTGAAGATTCATATAAATATCACATTAAATAAAACATAAATTGTTATTTTTTCCAACTCATATCTAATACAAAAAGCCAAAATATTAAGTCCACTCGTAAGATATACAAAAAAATAAATTATCTTGATCTTCTTGAGAACACAAAATAATAATAAAAAGATTGTAATTCTTCATCCTTTTGTTCTTCAATGATCAAGTAGTCAATGTGTAGTGGCTTTTAGATGTCTTAGAAGTTAAAAATTGTTACTTAACCTGAAAACAAAAGTTAAAAGAAAATGTTAAGGCTGATATGTACAATTACAAACGATCGCAGAACCAGAACTAACAAGAAAATGTTAAGGCTGATATGTATAAGGCTTATGTAAATAAATACATATACATTCGGTTCATGAATACATAATAAATTGTGGCATTTTGAGTTTCAAAACCTAAACAAAGACACAAAGGCACATCAAAAAGTCATATCTATGTTGCACGGCAAACTCTAGTAAGCATCCGCAAATACCAAAGACACATAGACAAATCATGGCATCCGAAAATCAAGTCAAACCTTCATACTTTAAACAAAGACAGAACGAGAAAGATAAAAAACTTACCATACTAAGCAAGTTGCGCCTCATAAAAGACAGGATCTTCTTGGTATACATCAGGTTCAAACTCCATGTCCACAACATCTTCTTCTTCAGATTCAAAGTCATCTTCATAAAGCTCTCGTACCTTAGGAGCTTGTGTAGTAAGCACAAAAATTAACAACATTATCTAGCTCTTCTAGATGACCCTCAAGCCATTCTTCAACTGTATCTTCATTACCATCAACCAAGATCACATCAACATTGCTTTCTCTGATTTTTTTTTCTGCTTGATAAACAGCCTTGCGTTAAACTGGACATAAACTAGACTGTTTAGCCGATTTACATCAAGTCTGTTTCTTTTCTTTGTGTGGATCTGCAACATAAGATTAGCCTTTAATTGTATATAATGTAAGATGCAGGAAGCGAAAACTAAAGAAGAAATGAACTAACCCCTTCAAAACTGTTTTAATTTCTTTCACAGCCAGTAGAAGTAGAGGTTAAATCAAGGATCCTCGTAGCTAATTTTTGCAGTATTGGTGCACCACATCCATAAGATGCCCACCAATTCCCTATGATTAAGCAGGTGACAAAAATATCATATGCTAAGCTTCTACTTAAATAACAAATAAAGAAAATCAAAGTGAGAAAATATACGTGCGAATTTATCAACATTCTTTTCACATCCTTTTATGGCTAAGCTTATGCCAAAGGAGCCACATTTGTTTCTGTAGAGACTAAGTTCTTTATTGACGACAAAGTCTTGCTTTTCGAAATCACCATGATACAAAGTCTCCGATAAGAAATGAATGCTTGTATGACCTCAAAGTCATATATATTCGGATCTTTGTAGCAATAGAAAGGATTGAGACAGTAGGCTGCAACGTACAAAGGAGAATCTAGCTTACCTTTCATCTTCTCATCAATAATTTGAAAGATTGGTTCGTAATTCCTCTCCACATGATCAGAAGCCTCTTTGATATACTTCTTAGCTTCTAAAATCTCACCATAGATAAACCCAAGATAAGGTTTCTTCACTCCATCGGCCAGCCTTAGAACCTTCAGCAACAGACTGCACACTTTCAAAAATACCATCACACTATTCCAAAATGCACAACCCATAACAATATCATATGCAGTCACACCCTTCACACACTTGGAATGCTCACAATTATGGCACTCATCACTGGCAAACATGTTCTTCAGTTGTGCTTTCTTTCTCATAGAGACTCTGAAGTGTCAAAAAGAAAGTTGCAAACCGTGTTGCTCCTGGTCTCACTATATCTCTTTTCTTAGTATATGTCCTCATAATAGATAGTGTTTTATGATGAGCATATAAAAAGATGGTGACAGCTTTTGCTTGATCTATGATTTTAGAAAAAAACAGACAACTTCGAAATTCCCTCAAGCATCAACTCCACAGTGTGAGCAGCACATCCAGACCAAAAGATTTTTGGTCTCATCTGTTTCAGCATTTTTGCAGCTGCTATGTTATTAGTACATTATCTGCCACCACTTGCACAACCTTCTCAGCCTCTAGATCTTCAATGCACTTATCAATATAGTTGAAGATATATTCACCTGTGTGAGAATCCTTAGTTAGCCGTGGACAAGAAGAGACATTTCCCTTTACATGACCTATGTGTTCTTTCATTATGTAGACACCACCACGTACCTCTTTTCCACACAATATACATCTCAACTTATCTGTATTTGTTGAATTAAACAATATTCTATAATCTCATCCTATATCATTTGAATTTCACTTTAGAGATGGAGGAGGAAGTGTATCTGTAAGTGGATTATCCATTAAACTTTAACCGAAAAAAAAACAAACTTGAAACAAATTTGTTTTGTAACTTGCTTCACCAATGATGAGCATATCTTGAAAACTAAATTCAGAACTGAACCTTTAAAAACTAACTAATAGAATCAAATTCAGGAAGTAGTATTGACCAGATAAAAAAAAACACAAATTTGAATAACAAACTTAAATTCACCAATGTCGACCTTACCAAACAAAAAAAAAAAAGATTTTTACTTTAAAAACTCAGAAATCAGAAACTTACTACCAAATTCATCAAAGTCATACACTTCAAACACCAACTAAAACAACAATAAGCAATTCGAGCTACTTTTTTGCCTTCTGAAATCATCTAATCAACACTCCAATCGAAGTGTTATTCACCAGTTTACAGAATTTGTATAAGAAGCTTGAACAACAAAACACATAAACAGTTTGAGAGAAATTACATGAAATACATTTCAGTAAGGTAATGGTTTAATCCAGATGATGGATTATTTGATTTTTGTTGATTAATTGAAATTAGGGTTTTGTGTGAGAAAATCTTAAAATGTGATGATGTCGGAGAAGGAAGATGGTGGTGGCTCAACCGAATTTTTTATTTGAGATTTTTGATGGGCTTGATGGGTTTGATAGGCCGATACCCAGACTTTAAACAAGGCGATATACTTATTAAACGCCAATTTTCATAAAACATCAGCAACGGACTGAAAACTTTCAAAACTACCATCACATTATTCCAAAATACACAACCCATAACAATATCATATGCAGTCACACCCTTCACACACTTGGAATGCTCACAATCATGCCACTCATCACTGGCAAACATGTTCTTCAGTTGTGCCTTCTTTCTCATATAGACTCTGAAGTGTCAAAAAGCAAGTTGCAAACCGTGTTGCCCCTGGTCTCACTTCATAGATAGTGTTTTATGTTGAGCATATAAAAAGATGGTGACAGCCTTTGCTTGATCTATGATTTAAGAAAAAACAGGCAACTTCGAAATTCCCTCAAGCATCAAGTCCACAGTGTGAGCAGCACATCCAGACCAAAAGATTTTTGGTCTCTTCTGTTTCAGCATTTTTGCAGCTGCTACGTTATTAGTACATTATCTGCCACCACTTGCATAATCTTCTCAGCCCCTAGATCTTCAATGCACTTATCAATATAGTTGAAGATATATTCACCTGTGTGAGAATCCTTAGTTAGCCGTGGACAAGAAGAGACATTTCCCTTCACATGACCTATGTGCTCTTTAATTCTGTAGACACCACCACATAACTCTTTTCCACACAATATACATCTCAACTTATCTGTATTTGTTGAATTAAACAATATTCTATAATCTCATCCTATATCATTTGAATTTCATTTTAGAGATGGAGGAGGAAGTGTATCTGTTGGTGGATTATCCATTAAATTCTAACCTAAAAAAAAAACAAACTTGAAACAAATTTGTTTTGTAACTTGCTTCACCAATGATGAGCATATCCAGAAAACTAAATTCAGAACTGAATCTTTAAAAACTAATCAAATTCAAGAAGTAGCATTGCCCAGATTAAAAAAAAAACAAATTTGATTAACAAACTTAAATTCGCCAATGTCGACCTTACCAAACAAAAAAATGATTTTTACGTTAAAAACTCAGAAATCAGACACTTACTACCAAATTCATCAAAGTCATACACTTCAAACACCAACTAAAACAACAGTCAGCAATTCGAGCTACTTTTTTGCCTTCTAAAATCATCAAATCAACACTCCAATCGAAGTGTTATTCGCCAGTTTACAGAACTTGTATAAGAAGCTTGAACAACAAAACACAGAAATGGTTTGAGAGAAATTACATGGAATACGCTTCAGTAAGGTAATGGTTTAATGCAGATGATGGATTATTTGATTTTTGTTGATTTATTGGAATTAGGGTTTTGTGTGAGAAAATCCTAAAATGTGATGATGTCGGGGAAGGAAGATGGTGGTGTCTCAACCAAATTTTTTGTTTGGGATTTTTGATGGGCTTGTGGGTTTGATGGGCCGATACCCATACTTAAAACAAGGAAATATACTTATTAAACACCGATTTTCATAAAACATTGGCATACGTTGGTCTAAATTTCGCCTAATGTTTCACAGCATCGTCTCTCTTTCACCCAATTTCACCTCTGCCGAATTGTTAGGCGCCCAAGTTTTTATTCAAGGTTTTTATATCATTATTCGAAAAGAAAATAAAAAAAACAAATGTGTTAACGCTTTAACAATTATTATTTTTAGGGTAAAATAATATATAATATTTATCAATTTTTAAACTTTACCAAACAAATATTATTATTTTCTCATAAATGTATTTTAATTATTTAATAAATCTGTACTTACAAAATAAATAAAATATCATTTGTGATGTTTTGAAACATTCAAATATGATTTATGTGCTTTTATTTTATTATAATTTATATTTTTTTTTATCATCTTTAGAGTTTATTAGGGCGGAACATTTTATCTGGAGGTTTTCTTATTAATAGACCGGAGCCGAGATATATAGGAGATTGGTTTAGATGGCAGATCCGTTTAACCGGAAAAATAAGAGAATAAGAAAGATTTGCTGTGTTCGTCATCGTATGCTTTATGTGAGTAAAAAGCCCGTCTTTCGAAATGAAGGCTTCACCCCTTTTATACTCCTTTCCTTCCGGCTCCGCATTGATCACATGATTTCCTGAGATCGGGCAAGAAAATAAAACTTTCCTTTTCTTCACTCGATCCGATCTCAATCGGCTATCAATCATCATTCACCCCTCATATCTAATACAAAAGGCCAAAATATTAATTCAACTCGTAAGATATACAAAAAATAAATTGTCTTGATCTTCTTGAGAACACAAAATAATAATAAAAAGATTGTAATTCTTCATCCTTTTGTTCTTGAGTGATCAAGTAGTCAATGTGTAGTTAAAAATTGTTACTTAACCTGAAAACAAAAGTTAAAAAAAATGTTAAGGCTGATTTGTACAATTACAAACGATCGGAAGACGAAGCAAAAACAAATAAAAGACATATACATTCGGTTCATGAATACATAATAAATTGTGGCATTTTAAGTTTTAAAACCTAAACAAAGACACAAAGGCACATCAAAAAGTCATATCTATGTTGCACGACCAACTCTAGTAAGCATCCACAAATACCAAAGACACATGGACAAAAATCATGGCATTCGCAAATCAATTCATACCTTCATACTTTAAACAAAGACAGAACGAGAAAGATAAAAAACTTACCATACTAAGCAGGTTGTGCCTCATAAAACACAGGATCTTCTTGGTAGACATCAGGTTCAAACTCCATGTCCACAACATCTTCTTCTTCAGACTCGAAGTCATCGTCATAAAGCTCTCGTACCCTAGGAGCTTGGGTAGTAAGCACAAAAATTAACATCATCCAAGATCACATCAACATTGCTTTCTCTGATTTTTTTTTCTGCTTGATAAACAGCCTTGCGTTAAACTGGACATAAACTAGACTGTTTTGCCGATTTACATCAAGTCTGTTTCTTTTCTTTGTGTGGATCTGCAACATACGATTAGCCTTTAATTGTATATAATGTAAGATACAGGAAGCGAAAACTAAAGAAGAAATGAACTAACCCCTTCAAAACTGCTTTAATTTCTTTCACAGCCAGTAGACCTAGAGGTTAAATCAAGGATCCCCATAGCTAATTTTTGCAGTATTGGTGCACCACATCCATAAGTGGCCCACCAATTCCCTATGATTAAGCAGGTGACAAAAATATCATATGCTAAGCTTCTACTTAAATAACAAATAAAGAAAATTAAAGTGAGAAAATATACGTGGATCGAATTTATCATCCTTCTTTTCACATCCTTTTATGGCTAAGCTTATGCCAAAGGAGCCACATTTGTTTCTGTAGAGACTAAGTTCTTTATTGACGACAAAGTCTTGCTTTTCGAAATCACCATGAGACAAAGTCTCCCCACAAGAAATGAATGCTTGTATGACCTCAAAGTCATATATAATCGGATCTTTGTAGCAATAGAAAAGATTGAGAGAGTAGGCAGCAACGTACAAAGGAGAATCTAGCTTACCTTTCACCTTCTCATCAATAATTTGAAAGATTGGTTCATAATTCCTCTCCACATGATCAGAAGCCTCTTTGATATACACCACCACGTACCTCTTTTCCACACAATATACATCTCAACTTATCTCTATTTGTTGAATTAAACAATATTCTATAATCTCATCCTATATCATTTGAATTTCACTTTAGAGATGGAGGAGGAAGTGTATCTGTCAGTGGATTATCCATTAAACTTTAACCTAAAAAAAAACAAACTTGAAACAAATTTGTTTTGTAACTTGCTTCACCAATGATGAGCATATCCTGAAAACTAAATTCAGAACTGAATCTTTAAAAACTAACTAATAGAATCAAATTTAGGAAGTAGCATTGCCGAGATAAAAAAAACAAATTTGAATAACAAACTTAAATTCACCAATGTCGGCCTTACCAAACAAAAAAAAAATGATTTTTACTTTAATAACTCAGAAATCAGAAACTTACTACCAAATTCATCAAAGTCATACACTTCAAACACCAACTAAAACAACAATCAGCAATTCGAGCTACTTTTTTGCCTTCTGAAATCATCTAATCAACACCCCAATCGAAGTGTTATTCACCAGTTTACAGAATTTGTATAAGAAGCTTGAACAACAAAACACAGAAACAGTTTGAGAGAAATTACATGAAATACATTTCAGTAAGGTAATGGTTTAATGCAGATGATGGATTATTTGATTTTTGTTGATTAATTGAAATTAGGGTTTTGTGTGAGAAAATCCTAAAATGTGATGATGTCGGGGATGGAAGATGATGGTGGCTCAACCAAATTTTTTATTTGGGATTTTTGATGGGCTTGATGGGTTTGATAAGCCGATACCCAGACTTTAAACAAAGCGATATACTTATTAAATGCCGATTTTCATAAAACATCAGCAACGGACTGAACACTTTCAAAACTACCATCCCATTATTCCAAAATGCACAACCCATAACAATATCATATGTAGTCACACCCTTCACACACTTGGAATGCTCACAATCATGCCACTCATCACTGGCAAACATGTTCTTCTGTTGTGCCTTCTTTCTCATAGAGACTCTGAAGTGTCAAAAAGCAAGTTGCAAACCGTGTTGCCCCTGGTCTCACTTCATAGATAGTGTTTTATGTTGAGCATATAAAAAGATGGTGACAACCTTTGCTTGATCTATGATTTAAGAAAAAACAGGCAACTTCGAAATTCCCTCAAGCATCAAGTCCACAGTGTGAGCAGCACATCCAAACCAAAAGTTTTTTGGTCTCTTCTGTTTCTGCATTTTCGCAGCTACTATGTTATTAGTACATTATCTGCCACCATTTGCACAACCTTTTCAGCCCCTAGACCTTCAATGCACTTATCAATATAGTTGAAGATATATTCACCTGTGTGAGAATCCTTAGTTAGCCGTGGACAAGAAGAGACATTTCCTTTCACATGACCTATGTGCTCTTTTATTCTGTAGACACCACCACATACCTCTTTCCCACACAATATACATCTCAACTTTTCTGTATTTCTTGAATTAAACAATATTTTATGATCTCATCCTATATCATTTGAATTTCACTTTAGAGATGGATGAGGAAGTGTATTTGTCGGTGGATTATCCATTAAACTCTAACCTAAAAAAAACCAAACTTGAAACAATTTTTTTTTGTAACTTGCTTCACCAATGATGAGCATATCCAAAAAACTAAATTCAGAACTGAATCTTTAAAAAATAACTAATAGAATCAAATTCAAGAAGTAGCATTGCTCAGATTAAAAAAAAAAAAAATTTGAATAACAAACTTAAATTCACCACGACCTTACCAAACAAAAAAAAATGATTTTTACTTTAAAAACTCAGAAATCAGACACTTACTACCAAATTCATCAAAGTCATACACTTCAAACACCAACAAAAAACAACAGCCAGCAATTCGAGCTACTTTTTTGCCTTCTAAAATCATCAAATCAACACTCCAATCGAAGTGTTATTCACCAGTTTACAAAATTTGTATAAGAAGCTTGAACAACAAAACACAGAAACGGTTTGAGAGAAATTACATTGAATATGATTCATTAAGGTAATGGTTTAATGCAGATGATGGATTATTTGATTTTTGTTGATTAATTGGAATTAGAGTTTTGTGTGAGACAATCCTAAAATGTGATGATGTCGGGGAAGGAAGATGGTGGTGTCTCAACCAAATTTTTTATTTGGGATTTTTGATGGGCTTGTGGGTTTGATGGGCCGATACCCATACTTTAAACAAGGAAATATACTTATTAAACGCCGATTTTCATAAAACATTGGCATACGTTGGTCTAAATTTCGCCTAATGTTTCACAGCATCGTCTCTCCTTCACCCAATTTCACCTCTGCCGAATTGTTAGGCGCCCAAGTTTTTATTCAAGGTTTTTATATCATTATTCGAAAAGAAAATAAAAAAAACAAATGTGTTAACGCTCTAACAATTATTATTTTTAGGGTAAAATAATATAAAATATTTATCAATTTTTAAATTTTATCAAACAAATATTATTATTTTCTCATTAATGTATTTTAATTATTTAATAAATCTGTACTTACAAAATAAATAAAATATCATTTGTGATGTTTTGAAACATTCAAATATGATTTATGTGCTTTTATTTTATTATAATTTATATTTTTTTATCATCTTTAGAGTTTATTAGGGCGGGACATTTTATCTGGAGGTTTTCTTATTAATAGACCGGAGCCGAGATATATAGGAGATTGGTTTAGATGGCGGATCCGTTTAACCGGAAAAATAAGAGAATAAGAGAGATTTGCTGTGTTCGTCGTCGTATGCTTTATGAGAGTAAAAAGCCCGTCTTTCGAAATGAAGGCTTCGCCCCTTTTATACTCTTTTCCTTTCGGCTGCGCATTGATCACATGATCTCCTGAGATCGGGCAAGAAAATAGAACTTTCCTTTTCTTCACTCGATCCGATCTCAATCGGCTATCAATCATCATTCAATGCTTACTTAGATCTGATCTCTGCTGCGATCATCATTAATTGCGATATTTTCGTTAATCTGAGAGATTGGACTCTCTTAAATAGACCGGTTTCATTCTTTTTTGGCCTGTTTAGGGGGTGCTAAGCCCGACCCTAACAAGTGTCTTCATCCATATGTCTTAATTAAGGTTCATGAAATCAATGGAAGACATAAAGCTATAACCAAGATCGTGTCAACTAAAGAAAAAATAATACATTCATTTAGGACATTATTTTCCAATAGTGCAGTAGTGGTCAACATCACACTGATTTGTATGGATTCAAGTTTAACACTTTTCAAAATCTTTCATTTTTCTATAGTATTTATAACCATTAACTCTTTTTTCCACGGTTTGATCACTTTCTATTTAGTTACAACTCCTCTAAAAATTAGTATATTAAAATAAAATATCAACAAAAACATTTATAGTAAAATCTATAAATAAAAAATAAAAAATACTATTATTTGTTTAGGACATCTAAAATGGTAGGAACGACTTTGACTATAATTGTATGCAATAGATAATATGTATGCAATATAAGTTTCACAAATTTTGATTGCTAGTAAAAAACTTAAATTCTTTTACTATTTATTTAGTATATCTACAAATAGATATATCAATGCTCAACAAGTTAAATTAATAGTTATGTTTGTTTATATAGATAACATGTTTCAATAACATTATGCAAAACACAATTTATGGAAAATTTTGTATTTTGAATGCTCTAAATAATAAGCTTTCTTTGGCTTCTTTTGCAAATATAGTAGAAACAGTATATATTAATAATGTTAGTACTTTGATATTTTATTAATAAATAATGTTATTAATTTATAAATTTTGGATAAATAAATTATGTATTAATAATCAATCAAATAATAGTTTCTATAAAATTTATGATAATTTCTAAAATTTCATTCTAAATATTATAAATGATATATGCAAATATTTTAACTTTCATACAAAAAAAATCAGTATACTCATAGTTTAGTACATTATCATATTTATATCTATGTATAAAATATTTTTATGGTAATTATTAATATTTGGTTTTAGTAAGATTTTATATTACATAGTTTTTTATTAAAAATATATTATCTTAATATTTTATTATCTTTCGATTTGTGTTATATTTTGAACCGAGTTAACTCGAAATCAGAAAAAATATTAATTTATCAAAGAATAATTTATAGAATTTCTACTATATAAACTTTCATTAATACACATGAAAACTTGATAATTTTCACCTTATTTATAAATAGAAACTTTTATTACCAACTCTCATATATTATTTACATCTATGTAAAAAAACACATTTGTATTTGTTATATTTCAAAATTGCAGTTTAATTATTACTTTAGTCGATACTCAATGCATCGACAGCTAAAGATATTGTATTAACTATAAGATATTAAACTTCATCAAATGAATAATCTAATTGCCATTTACGAAGACTTTTAAGTGTTAATGTAATATTCGCCACATATAATTGATTGACTTAAATTATCATTATGGTTTTAAATTGATATCATTTTTGTTCAATTATGATTTATTATTGTTTACATATCATATTAAACGAAATTAATTTAAAACAAAACATTAACGGAAACAAGTTTACTGGTAAATCTAATTGGCTTTTCACTAAAATTAAGAATTTGTTTTAAAAAGGGAACACATTTTAAAATCTGGATAAAAACAATTTAACCAATCAAAATCATTATAATAAAACAACTCAATTTTCACCCATAATTGATAACTAAAATCAATTTCTTTATATATAGAATCTAACAGTTAATCTACACATACTAACTCTATATATAATCAGAGAAAGTAGGCCAATAATTCTCATTCTGTCTTAAAACAATCATTTATAAACCCACATACAATTTGTAATCTCCATATACCCCAAAATTGTTTTTTTTTTAAATGGCTTTCATTACTTCTTTGTTTAAGGCTTTGTATTTGTCTCTCTTGTTCGTCACCGTTGCAAGTACCCGTCTGACCAATAGGCAAAATGTTTTTAATGTCCGACGATATGGTGCTAATCCTGATGGAAAGACTGATAACGCAAATGTATGTACATAACAAATAAAAAACACAAAGATATATTTTTTCTATTTTAAGCTAATCGTGTAATTTTTGTTTAATGATTTACTTCTCTTGTTATTCTTAATGTGTCCAATATTAGGTGTTCGCGAATGTATGGAAAAGCGCATGTGGAAGAATAAGTGGAAGTAGTAAAATATATGTACCAAAAGGAACATTCTATCTTGGTGGTATAGAGTTCGTAGGACCATGCATAAACCAGATTGAATTTATCATTGATGGAACTTTATTGGCTCCTTCAAATCCTAAGGACATTAAAAAGGATACGTGGATCAACTTTAGATACATCAATGATCTATTTATCTCTGGTGTCGGTACACTCGACGGTCAAGGGAAGCAGTCTTGGCCACTCAACGACTGTCATAAAAACACCAATTGTCCTAAACTAGCTATGGTATCATTTCTTAATCCTTTTATATATTGTTTTATTATGATTGTTATTTACATTGAAACTGTATTACAAAACCTTAAACAATGAAAAAAATGTAGCTCAATCATGTTTCTGTTACATATCGTAAATTCTTAAATTTAATTACTTAATTATTATTCAAACTGTTAATTATTTATGTGAAAATAGTTTTAAAAGAGATAATATGTACATAAAAACTATATGATACGTAATATTCAAGTTTAGAAAGTTTTATAATAAACTTATATATTTTCGTAGACAATGGGATTTGCATTTGTGAACAATTCAAGAATTGATGGGATAACATCACTCAACAGTAAAATGGGACACTTAAATTTCTTCTCAGTCCATCAGTTCAACATTACCGGCATCACCATTACGGCTCCCGACGATAGCCCAAACACTGATGGTATTAAATTTGGTTTCTCTAGCAATATTCACATCTCTAACACATTCATCGGTACTGGAGACGACTGTATCGCCATCCTTTCGGGAAACACTAACATAGATATTTCTAACGTCAAGTGTGGTCCCGGACACGGGATTAGTGTCGGAAGTTTGGGGAAGAACAAAGACGAGAAGGATGTTACAGGTTTAACGATAAGAGACACCATTTTTAATGGCACAAGCGATGGTATACGAATCAAGACTTGGGAATCTTCAGCTTCGAAGATCATCGTCTCTAACTTTGTGTTCGAGAATATTCAGATGATTGATGTTGGAAAACCAATTAACATCGATCAGAAGTATTGTCCTTACCCACCTTGTGAAAATAAGGTTTGCTTTCTACACTAGAGATAAAGTATGTTTTTCTTTTTTTTCATCACACGAAACACATAATTAAATAAAAAAATTTGTGGTCTGTTATTCTTCCAGGGAGAGTCTCACGTTCAGATACAAGACATTAAGTTAAAAAACATATATGGGACCTCGAAGAACAAAGTGGCAGTGAATCTACAATGCAGCAAGAGCTTTCCATGCAAGAACGTGGAGCTAGTTGACATTAACCTAGAGCATAACGGAGTCGAAGATGGTCCTTCTACTGCAGTGTGTGAAAATGTTGACAGTTCTGCTCATGGAAAGATGGTTCCTCAGCATTGTATGGGTTGATTAAATGCTCAACACAATAACTATATGTTGTATTTCATATTTTCATATTAATATAATACCCCAATTGATGTATAAATATGTACGCTTTTTCTTTTGTTAGTTTGTGTAATGTTTTTGATTGGTACAATAAAGATTTAAAGACAATTTGTTTTTTTTTTTACTTTGTTGTTTATATTTTATTTACGAAAACAAATATATTTTTTTATTAATCATGCAAACAATTATGATTAAAAAGAATATTTAATTAACGTGGACAGTTATCATTATTTTTATACTCTGTTCGGAATCTTGCTAGGTGTGGATCGGACGTTCGGTCTAAGCCTAGCGATTTTTTTTAAAAAAAAATCAGATATAAATCGAAGAGGAAGCAGAAAGAAATTTTTTATATAATTAATTTTTTTGTTAAAGTTTTTTTTCATATAAGTATAACATATCAAAATTAAAAATTAATAACATATTTTCTTAAGATTCATATAAATATCACATTAAATAAAACATAAATTGTTATTTTTTCCAACTCATATCTAATACAAAAGGCCAAAATATTAATTCCACTCATAAGATATACAAAAAATAAATTGTCTTGATCTTCTTGAGAACACAAAATAATAATAAAAAGATTGTAATTCTTCATCCTTTTGTTCTTGAGTGATCAAGTAGTCAATGTGTAGTTAAAAATTGTTACTTAACCTGAAAACAAAAATTAAAAGAAATTTTAAGGCTGATTTGTACAATTACAAACGATCGGAAGACGAAGCAAAAACAAATAAAAGACATATACATTTGGTTCATGAATACATAATAAATTGTGGCAATTTAAGTTTCAAAACCTAAACAAAGACACAAAGGCACATCAAAAAGTCATATCTATGTTGCACGGCCAACTCTAGTAAGCATCCGCAAATACCAAAGACACATGGACAAAAATCATGGCATCCGCAAATCAATTCATACCTTCATACTTTAAACAAAGATAGAACGAGAAAGACAAAAAACTTACCATACTAAGCAAGTTGTGCCTCATAAAACACAGGATCTTCTTGGTAGACATCAGGTTCAAACTCCATGTCCACAACATCTTCTTCTTCAGACTCGAAGTCATCGTCATAAAGCTCTCGTACCCTAGGATCTTGGGTAGTAAGCACAAAAATTAACATCATCCAAGATCACATCAACATTGCTTTCTCTGATTTTTTTTTCTGCTTGATAAACAGCCTTGCGTTAAACTGGACATAAACTAGACTGTTTAGCCGATTTACATCAAGTTTGTTTCTTTTCTTTGTGTGGATCTGCAACATAAGATTAGCCTTTAATTGTATATAATGTAAGATGCAGGAAGCGAAAACTAAAGAAGAAATGAACTAACCCCTTCAAAACTGCTTTAATTTCTTTCACAGCCAGTAGAAGTAGAGGTTAAATCAAGGATCCTCGTAGCTAATTTTTGCAGTATTGGTGCACCACATCCATAAGATGCCCACCAATTCCCTATGATTAAGCAGGTGACAAAAATATCATATGCTAAGCTTCTACTTAAATAACAAATAAAGAAAATCAAAGTGAGAAAATATACGTGCGAATTTATCAACATTCTTTTCACATCCTTTTATGGCTAAGCTTATGCCAAAGGAGCCACATTTGTTTCTGTAGAGACTAAGTTCTTTATTGACGACAAAGTCTTGCTTTTCGAAATCACCATGATACAAAGTCTCCGATAAGAAATGAATGCTTGTATGACCTCAAAGTCATATATATTCGGATCTTTGTAGCAATAGAAAGGATTGAGAGAGTAGGCTGCAACGTACAAAGGAGAATCTAGCTTACCTTTCATCTTCTCATCAATAATTTGAAAGATTGGTTCGTAATTCCTCTCCACATGATCAGAAGCCTCTTTGATATACTTCTTAGCTTCTAAAATCTCACCATAGATAAACCCAAGATAAGGTTTCTTCACTCCATCGGCCAGCCTTAGAACCTTCAGCAACAGACTGAACACTTTCAAAACTACCATCACACTATTCCAAAATGCACAACCCATAACAATATCATATGCAGTCACACCCTTCACACACTTGGAATGCTCACAATTATGGCACTCATCACTGGCAAACATGTTCTTCAGTTGTGCTTTCTTTCTCATAGAGACTCTGAAGTGTCAAAAAGAAAGTTGCAAACCGTGTTGCTCCTGGTCTCACTATATCTCTTTTCTTAGTATATGTCCTCATAATAGATAGTGTTTTATGATGAGCATATAAAAAGATGGTGACAGCCTTTGCTTGATCTATGATTTTAGAAAAAAACAGGCAACTTCGAAATTCCCTCAAGCATCAACTCCACAGTGTGAGCAGCACATCCAGACCAAAAGATTTTTGGTCTCATCTGTTTCAGCATTTTTGCAGCTGCTATGTTATTAGTACATTATCTGCCACCACTTGCACAACCTTCTCAGCCTCTAGATCTTCAATGCACTTATCAATATAGTTGAAGATATATTCACCTGTGTGAGAATCCTTAGTTAGCCGTGGACAAGAAGAGACATTTCCCTTTACATGACCTATGTGTTCTTTCATTCTGTAGACACCACCACGTACCTCTTTTCCACACAATATACATCTCAACTTATCTCTATTTGTTGAATTAAACAATATTCTATAATCTCATCCTATATCATTTGAATTTCACTTTAGAGATGGAGGAGGAAGTGTATCTGTAAGTGGATTATCCATTAAACTTTAACCGAAAAAAAAACAAACTTGAAACAAATTTGTTTTGTAACTTGCTTCACCAATGATGAGCATATCTTGAAAACTAAATTCAGAACTGAATCTTTAAAAACCAACTAATAGAATCAAATTCAGGAAGTAGTATTGACCAGATAAAAAAAACACAAATTTGAATAACAAACTTAAATTCACCAATGTCGACCTTACCAAACAAAAAAAAAAGATTTTTACTTTAAAAACTCAGAAATCAGAAACTTACTACCAAATTCATCAAAGTCATACACTTCAAACACCAACTAAAACAACAATAAGCAATTCGAGCTACTTTTTTGCCTTCTGAAATCATCTAATCAACACTCCAATCGAAGTGTTATTCACCAGTTTACAGAATTTGTATAAGAAGCTTGAACAACAAAACACAGAAACAGTTTGAGAGAAATTACATGAAATACATTTCAGTAAGGTAATGGTTTAATCCAGATGATGGATTATTTGATTTTTGTTGATTAATTGAAATTAGGGTTTTGTGTGAGAAAATCTTAAAATGTGATGATGTCGGAGAAGGAAGATGGTGGTGGCTCAACCAAATTTTTTATTTGAGATTTTTGATGGGCTTGATGGGTTTGATAGGCCGATACCCAGACTTTAAACAAGGCGATATACTTATTAAACGCCAATTTTCATAAAACATCAGCAACGGACTGAAAACTTTCAAAACTACCATCACATTATTCCAAAATGCACAACCCATAACAATAACATATGCAGTCACACCCTTCACACACTTGGAATGCTCACAATCATGCCACTCATCACTGGCAAACATGTTCTTCAGTTGTGCCTTCTTTCTCATATAGACTCTGAAGTGTCAAAAAGCAAGTTGCAAACCGTGTTGCCCCTGGTCTCACTTCATAGATAGTGTTTTTTATGTGAGCATATAAAAAGATGGTGACAGCCTTTGCTTGATCTATGATTTAAGAAAAAACAGGCAACTTCGAAATTCCCTCAAGCATCAAGTCCACAGTGTGAGCAGCACATCCAGACCAAAAGATTTTTGGTCTCTTCTGTTTCAGCATTTTTGCAGCTGCTACGTTATTAGTACATTATCTGCCACCACTTGCATAATCTTCTCAGCCCCTAGATCTTCAATGCACTTATCAATATAGTTGAAGATATATTCACCTGTGTGAGAATCCTTAGTTAGCCGTGGACAAGAAGAGACATTTCCCTTCACATGACCTATGTGCTCTTTAATTCTGTAGACACCACCACATAACTCTTTCCCACACAATATACATCTCAACTTATCTGTATTTGTTGAATTAAACAATATTCTATAATCTCATCCTATATCATTTGAATTTCATTTTAGAGATGGAGGAGGAAGTGTATCTGTTGGTGGATTATCCATTAAATTCTAACCTAAAAAAAAACAAACTTGAAACAAATTTGTTTTGTAACTTGCTTCACCAATGATAAGCATATCCAGAAAACTAAATTCAGAACTGAATCTTTAAAAACTAATCAAATTCAAGAAGTAGCATTGCCCAGATTAAAAAAAAAAAACAAATTTGATTAACAAACTTAAATTCGCCAATGTCGACCTTACCAAACAAAAAAATGATTTTTACGTTAAAAACTCAGAAATCAGACACTTACTACCAAATTCATCAAAGTCATACACTTCAAACACCAACTAAAACAACAGTCAGCAATTCGAGCTACTTTTTTGCCTTCTAAAATCATCAAATCAACACTCCAATCGAAGTGTTATTCGCCAGTTTACAGAACTTGTATAAGAAGCCTGAACAACAAAACACAGAAATGGTTTGAGAGAAATTACATGGAATACGCTTCAGTAAGGTAATGGTTTAATGCAGATGATGGATTATTTGATTTTTGTTGATTTATTGGAATTAGGGTTTTGTGTGAGAAAATCCTAAAATGTGATGATGTCGGGGAAAGAAGATGGTGGTGTCTCAACCAAATTTTTTATTAAGGTAGTAACTGACGTTGTTTGCTTTGTGTCATGTTATAGAGTCTTAAACCTGTTTTATAGAGTCAAAATTTTGAAACTGTCAGTTTTTCTGGGAACTAACCATATGACGTTTTTGCTTATAAGAACCATTGCCACAGTAGTTGATTACAAGTCTTACTAAGTTGAAAGTCATAGGTAGATCAGTCTAGCAATGAAGGTCTAGGTCCTTAGAGAATCTGATAAATCTTCTGTTAGCTCCACCTTAATGAACTTTAAACTTCTTGTCTTGGTGATTGATTCTTTTTGAGCTTGATTCTCTCTTTTAGCACTAACAATAAAGTCAAGATACAATCTCTCTCTGATCTTCCCTGAGGTAGTTTTTAAAAGTTTAAGTCCAAAGAATGGTGAATTCATGACCTTGTCTCCTCACAAGGAACAACAATAGTGAACACACTCAAGAACCTGTCTCCTCACAAGGAACACAAGTATTGAGTAGCACCATTTCTTAGACTGAAAAAGTTGAGAAAAAGAAGTGAAAAATCAAAAATATCCAAAGTAAAAGATCAAGGGAAGAGAAAATAGGAGAGTTATGTTGAGATTGATTTGTTCAGTTGTTAGAAAGGGAAAAGAATCTGTAAAGTGATTGAGATGATAGAACCTTGATGAGATATCACACTTAGATAAAAATAAGGAGTTGACAGTAGAAATTTCGGATTTTTCGAAGGGATTTGGACTGGACATGAGAGATTTGCTAAGCTTGTGATGATTAGACTGAAATTTGATCTTGTGTTGACTCTGTGGTATGTGGATTCGAAAGTTCAAACTAGTGTGGTGTTCCTGATGATTGACTGACTGTTTCTTGTTTTCAAACCTCAACCTCATTCTTTGTCTGATGTTTGCTTGAGGGCAAGCAAAAGCTAAGTCTGGGGCAGTTGATATATCATGGTTTTTTATGGTTTTTAGGTAGTAACTGAAGTTGGTGTTTGATATATCATGGTTTTTTATGGTTTTAACCATGATATAAGTCCTTTTTATTGAGTCTTTTTGGTCTTTTTAGAGTCCTAGAAGAGTCTTTGCAGGTTATAGCATGTCTGGAGCATAATTGGAGATTTTGGAACCTTTTGGAGCATTCTGAGTTGAAGCCACGAAGTACCAAGCTCGAAGCAGAAAGTATCCCATATGGTGACGCTCGTCACCACCCTTGGTGACACTCGTCACCCATCAAAGAAGGAGCGTGGCTGTTTTATTAAAAGTGTGAAGAAGATTTGCAGAATTGGCCCAGAAGTTCCATTATTTATAAGAAGACCCCAAATCGTATTTAGCCTCTATTTATTAGGTTTTTCAGCCATTGTTGGCCATTATCTTAGTTTTTGAGATTTCAGAGAGCTTAGAGAGAGATTTATTCAGAGCTTTTTGGGGAGACAAATCCTGTACTCTTTTGAGAAGATTTTGAACCCCTTCTATTCTTTTACTCTTTCTCTTAATGCAATATTATTCAGTTATGCTTTGTAATCCCATAATCATGTATGAGTAATCTGCTAGTTAAGTTAGGGCTTTTTCAAGGGTTGATGAAGAGATTGTAGAATCGCAATTCTGTTAGGATTATCTTTTGGTTTTTCATCTCTGCTTGCTTTAAAATTGAATTTCTGAGAAACATCATCTAGGAATCCGAAAATCTTAGGTTGTTAAATATATGTGAGAGCATTATTCATAACCTGAACTAGTATTTGATGAGCAAAACAACTTAGTGCAAAGAGATTTGGCTTAGGAGTTCTGTAAACAATTGAATCTGATCATTCCTGCATGCTTAGGTTGTTAGGGTTTGCAAAGAGATTTGAAACTCTGTGATTTAGGCATAGATAACTTTTGCAATGAGAATTGATTAGTTATACATTAGTGATTCATTTTTAAAACGGTTCTTAATCATTCCTGATTTCCTGCATTCTACATTCTTGGATTCAACTTGCGAACTGTCCTGATTTTGCGCTTTTAGTCTTCTGAAACTTAGATCATCTGCCAAAAATCGTTTGTTTACTTTTATTTGTTAATTCGCATTACATACATTATATCCTACTTAGCATAATCCGAATCTACAATTCGATAGTGTAGTTTGCATTACTCCCTTGGGATTCGATACCCCTTGTACTACAACTGCTTTTGCTGTGCACTTGCAGTAGTTTTATTTGGGTAAAACCTGAGCCCTATCAAGTTTTTGGCACCGTTGCCGGGGAGTAATTGCTGCCTTTCGATACCTAGTATTAGGATTTTGTCTAAGTTTTAATTTGTTTACTAACTTTGCTACTTTTCTTTGTTCCTGTTTCAGGTGTATGCCTAATCGCAGAACCATAAGCAACAAGGAGAAGGAGCTTGTGACTTTGAGCATCGACGAACTAGCTAGGTTGGAGAGAACTAACAGGAAAGCTAAGAAGCAATCTACAATGGTGGCTCCACTTATCCTGGTTGAAGATGCAGAAGGTCACTTGGTTGACAGGGAAGGAAACAGGAGAAACGAAGAGGGGCAGAGAATTGATCAAGAGGGGAATGTCATTGTTGAACAGCAGCTTCAACAAGTGAATGAGAACGTGGGAGTCTCTGTTGCTGCTAATAACGCTGCTGGGCGTTTTGTTCAGAGGACTCTAGGTGATTACAACAGACCTGATCAGTTATATGCCAACAGAGCTGCAATCCGACCTCCTGCCTTCCAGAGGAACGATTTTGAGGTTAAACCTGTCTACTATCAGCTGGTTAGCCAGCATCCATTCCATGGCTTACCTCATGAGCATCCTATGGATCACATTGAGAGGTTTGAGGATCTGGCTTCAAGTGTCAAAGCTACTGGAGTCAGCAATGATTTCCTGTTCTGCAAGCTTTTTCCTTACTCTCTTGGAGAAGAGGCTGCATATTGGCTGAAGCAACTGGAACCTGCTTCATTGACCACTTGGAAAGACACTAAGAACGCCTTTCTGAATAACTTCTATGATGATGCAAGATCAGAGGACATGAGGACGAAAATTGCATCCTTTACACAAGGCCCTACTGAAGCTTTTAAGGCTTCTTGGATCAGGTTCAAGTCTTATCAAAGGGACTGTCCTCATCATGGCTTTAGTCAGGTGCAATTACTTGGGATTTTCTTCAGGGGCATTGACTGGAAATATCAGATGGCGCTGGATACAGAAAGTGCAGGAAACTTCAACACCAACAGACCAGAGGAGGCGATCAGACTGATTGAGAATTTGGTCTGCAGCAACAGCACTAAAAATGCAGACTTTCAGAAGATGAAACAAGCTGGTGTG